GCTCCGGCCTCCGTCGGCAGAAGAAGCTGCCTCAGCTCTTTGAAAGGGCTTCTTCCAAGTGGTGGAACCCCAAGTTTGACTCCAACAACCTGGAGGAGGCTTGCATGGAGAGGTGCTTCCCACAGACCCAGCGCAGGTTTCGCTATGCCCTCTTCTACATCGGCGTGGCCTGCCTTCTCTGGGCCATCTACTTTGGCATCCACATGAGAGAGAAGCAGCTTGTTTTCATGGTGCCGGCTCTGTGCTTCCTCTTGGTCTGTGTCGCCTTTTTTGTGTTCACTTTCACCAAGACGTACGCCCGCCATTACGTATGGACTTCGCTGATACTCACCCTCCTGGTTTTTGCTTTGACTCTGGCTCCGCAGTTCCAGGCTCTCAAACCTATCTCAGGAAGTGGTGACATGTCCAATCGGACTCCCCCGGCAGATCCCACAGACACTTGTCTTTCTCAAGTCGGCAGTTTTTCTATGTGTATTGAAGTGCTCTTGTTGCTTTACACGGTGATGCACTTACCCTTGTATTTAAGCTTGTTTCTGGGACTGTCGTACTCGGTCCTCTTCGAGACCTTCGGTTATCACTTCCGTGACGAGACCTGTTTTACCCCTCTCGGAGCTGGTGCAGTTTACTGGGAGCTGTTGAGTAAAGCCTTCCTGCACGTCTGCATCCACGCCATCGGTATTCATTTATTTATCATGTCCGAAGTCAGATCGAGAAGCACATTCCTGAAAGTGGGGCAATCCATCATGCATGGAAAAGACTTGGAAGTGGAAAAAGCCCTGAAAGAAAGGATGATTCACTCTGTTATGCCAAGAATAATAGCCGATGACTTAATGAAGCAGGGGGATGATGAAAGTGAAAACTCCATCAAACGTCATTCCACCTCAAGCCCCAAAAACAGGAAGAAGAAGCCCTCCATACAGAAAACCCCCATTATATTCCGTCCCTTTAAAATGCAGCAAATAGAGCAAGTGAGCATTTTGTTCGCAGATATTGTTGGCTTTACCAAAATGAGTGCAAATAAATCTGCTCATGCTCTTGTGGGACTCCTGAATGACCTCTTTGGACGTTTTGACCGTCTGTGTGAGGACACTAAATGTGAGAAGATAAGCACTTTGGGGGACTGTTACTACTGCGTAGCTGGCTGCCCGGAGCCGCGGGCAGATCACGCTTACTGCTGCATCGAGATGGGCTTGGGGATGATTAAAGCCATCGAGCAGTTTTGCCAAGAGAAAAAAGAAATGGTGAACATGAGAGTCGGTGTTCATACCGGGACAGTCCTGTGTGGCATTTTGGGAATGAGGAGATTCAAGTTCGATGTGTGGTCCAATGATGTCAATTTAGCCAATCTGATGGAGCAGCTGGGGGTGGCTGGAAAAGTCCATATTTCGGAAGCTACTGCAAAATATTTGGACGATCGTTATGAAATGGAGGATGGAAAGGTGATCGAGCGAGTTGGTCAGAGCGTGGTAGCCGACCAGTTAAAAGGTATGTGCTTTTATCTTGTGCTTGGTCTTTTTTCCTGTTTTCTTTCTTTTTTTTTCTTTTAGGGAGGAATGTATTTTCCCTGGTGCGTGTTTTGTCCTTGCTGACTTGCAAAGTGAACGCGTTTTAAGTATAATTCTGTGTGCTGGTGATCAGAAACACCATGGGGATTATGGAATAAAAGATGCCGTGGAGATAAGCATGAAAGATCTTCTGGGGTACTCAAAATGCACTTAGACTTCAAAACTCCTGAGCGCTCCTTGTGAGAGTATCGCCTCGTAGGGAGGAGAAGGTTAATGTGTTTGCTGTCTGCAAGAGGTTTTTGTTACACTGCTGTGTGTCATCCTTTAATTCAGTGAGTAAACTTGTTAATTGACTTCATGTGCCATACATAGAGCATATGTGTTTTGCAAAATTATGTATATCTGTGAAAAGGGTTGGTTGGGTTTTTTTTGGCATCGGGAGAGTTGGGACTGTGAAGGCATTTGGGAAAAATGACAGCTGGATTCACAGAAAGAAACGAGAGCGCTGTCGATTTGGCAGTTTGATAGAGCGAGTCGTTACAGTTCGAAGTTAGGCTGGAAAAAGTTACTCAGGTGGTTGGTTGAGCTGGCAGAGCCTCTCTCATTTCTGCAGCTCGAAGGATTTGGGGATGAAACTGCAAATTTGCCTTTTGGAAAAGAAAAGGAGGGATCCTTCCTTCGCTTCCCCTTTATGGCTTGGCTAAGGGTGCAATTTTCATTTCTTCTCCAGAGTGTTCATTTTTAAATGAAACCCTTGACTGCTTTCTAGCAGCACTGAGCAGCGCGGGCAGGAGGGTTGTACCAGCCGAGGGTTTAATCGTCTCTCTAGTAAAGAGCTGTGTCTCTAGTGCTCTGCCTTTGTCTGGTGGAGGTACAGTTGTCTGCAGTGCTTGGAGCCCCAGTTTGGGAGCAGACGAATCAAAATGGGAGCGGAATACATTGCAAACCCTTTAATGCTGTGCGAGTTTGTCCGTTATGTTTATAAACCTACCCCCTTTTTTTTTTTAATAAAGTAAGGACAGAAAACAGAGTAGAAGAAACTGCAGGAGCCGTAGGACAGCGTTGGGATGGAGGAAGGAGTTATTTGTTGCAATACAAATACAAAATGAGGCCAGGATGGTTGTAGAAAGGTCAGTGAGTAAGGACAGGGAAAGGGGGGGGGG